GGGATGCCACGCCTGTTCAAGACCTCCACCTCAACCTCCTGGCCGTGGTGATGTATTGAGGAGAATGCAATGCCCCTAAACAACTTACATTCATACAAGAAACAAAATCTACAATCCTTTCAATCATTGTGAAAAGCAACTCCCAGTCGCACCAACCAAGGTCCATCATGGTCCATCCATTGGCTCATACACTGTCCATTGACGCAGCAAACACCAGGTTGATGGATAAAGGCCCAACTGGAAAACCAATTTGCTAATAGGTACGGTACAATAGGTATACTTTTTCCTCGACTCAGCTCGTCCGCCCCCCTTTCTCAGCTCGTCCGCTAGCAGAACAGAACCCCCAGGCGTGCCTTGCCAACGAAGGCTCCAACCTTGGGAGGGATCTTCTGGATGGGGACATTGTACCTGGGCGCCGCGTGGGTTTTCGTCGGTGACCAGCGGCGAGGGCAGAAGAAAAAACATGGGACTGAGAAGGTTTGCGTCAAGTTCTGCTACCTGCCTGTCACCAAAACCCAAGCAATCCAACCGCATCGCCACGAACCGCGTCCACGGCGCTTCTGTGCGGCGTTCTTCACCACTGCTCCGTAGTAGACGATGACGAAGCCACAGAAGGCCCAGGCCAAAGGCTCAATGCCTTGGACGGGCGCGGATTGCGGAACAGTGAGTTGCTGCTTCTAAAGCAGCAAGTGGGAATGTACCCAGTCACATTGACCATACAATCACAAAGACACAAACAACTCTTTATTCTGCAGACTGTTTGGCGTGGCAGCCAAGACGCCATAGAAGACATCAAAGTACTCCTTGCCTCAGTACAGATAGGATATGATGATTATATTTCACATCGGGATTGCTGTAAACGAAGAACGGTGGGCATGGTTTACCTCGAGATGCATTTCCACTTGGTCTTTTTGCAGGGGCTGCTAGTTGGATCCTTCTCAATTGGCCGGTGAGCATGATCGACCACTGAGGACCATGGGGCCACCAAGTCCAGGGTAGTCGTCGCAGGTCTCTTGCAAACCTTAAGGGAATGGTCTGCATTCCAATTACCTGTGATGAGTGTGCAATGTAATAGTGAGACCCCTAACTGATAGGTTTTGATCTATTGCCCTTTTTCCAGGGGGTCTTTGGGGGGTCTGTGTATTGTATTGCCGACAAACATGCCATTGGCCAACCGCCCGACCGCTCACCCAAAAGCCCTCCTCGTCCTGTTGCAGACAGGTGGCCCTTGAAGACGAAGGCGTCTGCTCCCATTGGCACAGTGGCCAACACCGCCGCGCCAGCTACCACTGCGGGGTCTGCGGCGGTGCGCGCAGGCGCTGGGACAAAGGCGATATTTCGGAGCATGCAGAGGGCCTGAGCTGAGGAGGATTCCAGGCGTTACAATTATAGTGTATTTATTCAAAATTTACCAATGCTTAAAGCGTTGAAAAGGGAGCGACTTTTGAAAGAGGAATTGTCGGCCCCCATTGTTGGAATTAGAGTGCCAAATTGTGCATGGATCCAAGCAGAAAACTGATTTGTCCCCGCAAGAACCACTGGAACAACAAGCCCTCAGCCTCTCTTTTGAACCAAGCTGCAGCGGCCAAGATACACAAGGCAGCAGCACGAGCCATGGCAAAAAGCGGGCACAGGCCACAGTTGGTCAGGGGATGGCTGGGCTGGACACCAAAAAACTCTCGAAGAGGCGCGAAACGACAGCTAATGGAAAGGATCCACATAGGGAGCCTGGAGTGCCAAACTGAACGTGTTGGTCTACATATCTCCTATGTCCGTCCTCTCTTCTCTAAACACTTAACTTAAGTAGTCAACAGGTGCAAACATGTTTCGCAGTTGCAAGGATGGTGCTGGCATAGCGTGAAGGAACCTCAACCCCGATGTTAAGCGCTTCTTTTGCTCGCTACCTTTGGAGCGCTTCACTGACTGGTGCCAGGCCGGGCCGACGGCGGGGCTTGGGCGGGGCGTAGAAAGGCTCCGAAAGAAGGGGCTGCCTCACTGCTTCGGGATGCCACGCCTGTTCAAGACCTCCACCTCAACCTCCTGGCCAACTGAGCCGGTTTTTCAGGCCGAGACGACCCCAGCACGGTCGGATAGTCATTCGGATGCCGTCGTGTGGGCGAATGGCAGACTCGGTTTGCCACACCTGCTCGGGAGTCAAACAAATTGACAGACACCAACCATGAGAACGACACCAACGACCGGCGGGTGCTGAGGTTGAATGGTAAAACGCTGCCACCACCATTAAAAAAACTGCCGTCAAGAGTTGTTCGTGTGTGAAAGGCACTCAGCTCTTCTTGGAGATCACCCACCGCATCAGCCAGGGTCCCGCCTTGCCGACGAAGGTTCCGACCTTGGGAGGAATCTTCTGGATGGGGACGTTGTACCTGGGTTCGCACGGGAATTAGGCAAATGAACAGGATCAGGCCAAGGATTTTGTGGAATGAGACATCATGAGATCCCTCTTTTCATGTTCTCCGCTTGCTTGCCTTTCAGGTGGAGCAGTCACCTCAAAGCATCATGCTCTCAAGGGGGAGAGAGGGGGCTATGAGGTACTTCATGAGCCCGACTAACAAAATCTAGATTTGGCCATCAAACTGAAGGCCTTCCCGCGTCATTCTAGCTGCTTGCGCCACTGTGGTTCAATACGGCGTTCTTCACCACTGGCTCAGTAATAGACACTGCAACGACAGGCAAACTACATTGATTACACCATTTTCGCTGAGTACGTCTTTCATGGATCATGAAGCACGGTCAAACTCCTGCAATCAGAGAATTGGTTGAGTTGTTGCACTGGACGTCCTTGCCTTTTACTGCGTGTGAGGCGCTTTTGCGCGGCGTTCTTCACCACAGCACCATAGTAGACAATGACAAATCCGCAGAAGGCCCAGGCCAGAGGCTCAATGCCTCAGAGGGTCTGGCTTGAAAGTTAGCTGACCCCTACCCTACCCCCCGTTGAACGACCCCGAAGGTTCGCACCCAGTAGCCCTGACTAAACCAAAGGTTTGGGTGGATACAATATATGATGCCATTTGGGGGAGGAGAGTGCGCTTTAAAGTTGAGTGAGTCTGGCTGGCTAAAGGCTCAATTTCGAGTTTCTTCTTGAAAACCAGTTGAGAATCACACAACTCTCCCCCAACTGCAGGCTGCTTTCCAGAGGTATGAGGTGTGAGATCGAAGGTTGTGATTGCAAAAATCAACTGAACCTAGCCTTGCCAACCGTGTGACGACGGACTTTAAGCCAGGATGCCATAGAAGACATCGAAGTACTCCTTGCCTAAGCGTGCGACCGAGCGAATGTCAAGGCATGCTACCGGATAGGAGCAGAATACAACGCAGAGGTCTCTGGAATCGGGGTGCCCAGCAGTCAAACTACACTCACTTTGTGCTTCCGCCATCTTGTGCCCCCATGCCCATGTCGCTCTTCACTGCCGCAGCTGGGCAGCGAAGAGAACTTGGGAACCTGGACAAGGCCCACCTTGATGGCCAACGCCCCTGCAGCTTACACCTAACTAAAACGCTGACAGGAACCTCGGCGCGCTTCTGAAGTCGATAACTTCTCACAGCTCATGAAACTGTATGTGTATATATATATACCGTATTTGTTGGTTTTTATTCAAAAATCGAAGTTTATCTCTATCTCCCTCTCTCTCTCTCTATCTCTCCACAGGCTCCACCAACAGAACAACACTACCCCGCGGCAAAACTCTTCCTGCAAAACAAGCTGCCCTTGAAGACGAAGGCATCTGCTCCCATTGGCACGGTGGCCAACACCGCTGCGCCAGCTGCCACTGCGGGGTCTGCGGTGGTGCGCGCAGGCGCTGAGACAAAGGCGATGTTTCGGAGCATGCACAGGGCCTTGATTGCAAGCACCAAGCGTCTGCACAACAAGAGAGTGCAACTCAACGTGGAATCACATCCAGAAAACTTCTGGACACAGAATGTCTGACATCTACATCTGCCATGCTTTGGGGACGTCATCTCTTCCACAGGACCCAGTCTGCACGGCCAGTGAGCACGACCGGTCTTCCACGGCCAGTGTTGTGCGTCCCAGGGGCCGCGGCCAAGATGCAGAGTGCAGCGACGCGAGCCATGGCGACCAGCACGACGTCAGATCGGATCGCTGAGGCCAAACAAAAACACTGCGGACAGATGCGGTGGTTTTCTTGATGGTTCAGAGTGGAACAAGAAGCTACTAGGCGCTCCTAGCCATACTGCTAGGAGCAAGGACGCTTCGTGGCCTTACTACTAGGAG